TCTCACTTGGAATGAAACGAGAATTTTTTGCGTTATTCCCTGGCTGCAAGCAGTGTGTGTGGCCATGCCGACGGCACGTATCGCATGAGGTCTTTTTCCCTGTGAACCTGCACATGACGGATCACGAACCGCACAACTTTTTTGTCCCTTGTCTACACCGGAAACAATTAAGACACGCGAACATGTTGCCCGTCTCTCTCTGATATATTTGATGCGACCTGAATGGACCGCGGATTTCCCAACATGAAAATCGTCCAGGGGAAAATCCTGTCGTGACCCGATGTGAAAATGAGAGCCGGGGTATTGCGAAAGTAGCATTTAGAGAGAGAGAGAGATGGAAAACGACTGCGAGTGAGATGATCAAAGCCGTATTGGATCATGGGGAGGAGGGGCGTGATTGACCTTGCGTAATGGGGAGAGGTCAAAGGTCAAGGGGGGAGTCGAGGAGGGGATTCCATCAGCATAATATCACTTGATCTCTATCAGAGGTTGAGGCACGCCCCTGTCTACAAGGCTCCTCTCTTTGTCATTCCCTTATCTCTCACACGCACGTACATATACCTGTATATCTATCCCCCATGGGGCATAATACTGAATGTTGCAGTTCCTCCTTACACGAGAGAGGGCCTTCGAAAGGAAAAAAATGATGGAAAGAAAAATATGAGTGAGGAGTGCTATTAGGAGTTCGCCGGAAGTACAATCAAGTCGAAGCCAAATACCAAAGCGTTGGGAAAAGACAAGTTCTTGGCTCTCTGTCTCTGTCTCTGGTAAAGGGAATGGTGTGATACATAGTGTCACCGAGATGGCGTGACACAAACTCGGTCGAGATAACAGGATTCTTCTCCCCTTGGAACCAGGCCAAAGGGATTCTCTATGTCCCCAGTCTGGCAGATAATCTCTCGATATCGTTCGGAGACGAGAAACCCGTCGCGTGTGTCTCCCGTTCCTGCGCGACCCCCACTTATAAATATCCCAAGAGAAACCACGAAGGCAGAGATGTTTTGGCCCTCGACGGGTGATATGCCTGGAATCCCGGATGAGAGGAGCTTGAGAAACTTCCTCGTCGTCGTGTACAGGAAAATGAATAAATGTATAATTCTGTTGGTGTCTTTTACCATTTGTCATAGGGAATAAGATGGGCGCGGTGACACAAGTGCCAGGCCGGGCCAAGAAGAACTTCTCTCTCTCTCTCTTTCTTTTCCATCTATGGCGTCTCCTTGTCCATGGAGAGACTCATTTACTTTGCCTTTCCATGCATATGGATGCCCTGCTCCCCACTTATCTTCCTACCAACATACAGCACAAGAGATACTTATCCTCTCTCTCCATCTCCTACGTCCTTTGGCCGTTCCCTTCCGAGGATTATGAAAGAACTGAACCCTGGAGAGGGAATGTTAGCATCCTGGGTTGTTCCTCAGGCGAGGTTCATGAAAGGACTAAGGAGCTGCTCCCCATCCCCGAAAACTTGTGAATTTCACCACGGTTTCACATGCGAGGGGAGGTGAATAAAATGTATAGCATCTGTTTGCCATACACCAACAAAGAATGCATCCCACATGCGAACGTGACCTGGCCTGATGTTCAAAGAGGGGAAAGAAAAAATCTTGTAAATTGACTCAGGGGAGGAGGAAGAATCCGAAAGGGATGAGTGAAAGAGTGCAGGATTAGTCTGGACGACCTCCTCTCCCACCTCATCAATCAGGGAAAAGGCTTCCAAGGTACAAAAAAAAATGTTTTAGGGCTTAAGAAAAAATTCTCCCCATCTGATATGATCCATGGCGTAATTCATCGTCTTCTCTCTTGACACGGAAGGTGCGCGTGGGACGTGCACGCACCCTGCGTGGGTTGTCCCGATAAAAAAAACCTCCTTAATTGTCTGCGAATGGACTGATGCGAAGTAAGAATTTAAAAAGCTTACTTTTTCCCTGTCTTGTCTTTCTTGCTGTCATTGTTTGATAATCCGAGAGATGGAAATCTCTGAATACAATCCCTGCGACCGTTCTTTGAATGGAAAAGGTCTACAGGTACAAGACTCGCCGTAAAAAGGACCTGTTTTCATGCCCATGGAATCCAGCATGAGGGAATAGACCGTTATAGACATAGAACACAGGCAAAAAAAATGGACCGAGAGCTCGATATCTCCAAAGGAGACAAACCCATACCGTACCAAGATTGAAAAATTGATATATTTTGGGACAGAGGTCACAGACATGAAATAAGCTAAGCTGGGTTTCTTTTTCCTCTAGAGAACAGGGTCAGGCCCCTCAAGGGTCCGGAAAACAACTACGCCGGAAGATAACGGACCGGGATGTCGTGTAAACAAATAATCGATAGACGGGGCGGGATATCGAGGAACACACAACTTGCATGGACGACAGGAAATTCTCTCAAGTGATTTCCCATGGAGACAGAAAAACACGTTACATCCCTCTCAACAAAGATCTTACGCACAAAACTCCTGGAAATGGGATCAACATTTCACAAGAAAAGCTTCATGACTTTTATGGCATTTAAATCAACATTTACTGCTCGTGAACTTTTCTACGGTGTTAGACGGATTGACTAAGAGCAAAGTCCAAAAGATGAAGGACGATAAAAAGAATAGGGGAGGGAGGGAGAGAAAGAGAGGAAAAGAAAGCAGAGGGAGAAAATGAGGACACATGTGCTTGGCAGAAAGGAGAGAGAACTTCGTTACTGGCACGGGGCCTCCCTCCACCCCCTGACATGGAATCGAATCAAATTCCATGGGAAATCCCGAAGAAAAAAAAAAAACAGGAAAAGAGGAGAAACAGGGAGAAGAAAAATGGAAGGCAATTTCATGCACTGTCCTGGCAGCGACAGGAAGAGAAAATGAAGGTAGATGGAAAAAAACTATAAATATAAATAGGCGGACGGTATGAAGAAAATTGCAAGAAGAAAAGTGATCGCCTTCACTGTTTCAGTCATTTAAGTGGAGCCTGTTCACGTGAACCGTTACATATGGAACTGCATGGACCAAAAGGTCTTGGGGAATTGCGCCGATTTCCAAGAAGGGTGGGAGGGACCCACGAGACTCCCGAGTTCGGCGAAATCCCAAGCAACGAAGGGGAAATAAAAATCCACTGGAGGAGCTCAGGTGGTTTTAGAATTCTAAATGCTGCAGGACTTCCTAGAAGCTGTGCCGAGCGATGAAAGCATCTTCGTAATATTCATGTGGATGGAAATAATGAAATGGAGAGGAAACTTGGATCTTACAACATGCATCCAAATTAAACTCGTTTTCGTTGAATTCCCGGAAAGGGGAATTCAGTCTAGATTCCAGAAAGACAAGAATAGGCAAGTTTGCCCCTAGCCCTTGGCATCATCCCACGCGCCTCTTCCGCGAAAATTTTGGATTCCCTGTTTGAAGCATCCAATGCATTGAACGCTTGGTAGACGATCGAGACTCTGATCGGAGGTCGAGGAGGCTCCGATGGATGACATCGACCAAGCACATGTACTTGCCACGAATGTACCGCTGGGTGAGGATTCGAGGGTCGTTGGGTTGGTTCTGAGACCCTCCCCCCCATCATCCCTCGGTGATTCCCCTTTCGATTGCGCTTTCCGGCGTGTGCTTAAACCACTCTGTTAACATGTGTATATTACTCCTGCCTGTCTTTCGGAGATTCGATTCAAAAGTTTTGCACGGCTATCAAGAGCTGCGTCTGACGAAAATCGTCACTTTCGCGAAGTCCAGACGGACCTCATGGCCTGTTTTTCCCGGAAACGCGATGAATTTTAAACTAATGCGAATGCAAACTTCGACGACAGTTCGACATGTATGAACACCCTGCTGAAACTACTCCTCGTTCCTATCCATCCCTCATCGGTCTGCGGAGTGTAATTGCACTGGAGCGTTCATAATTTTCTTGCTTCCTCCGGGATAATGAGGATCCTCCCGTAAAAGAATCAGGGAAATTCCAGACATCATGTGGTAACACCAAGTGGTGACGCCAAGCAGACTCCTTGTTGAACACCAGAAGTATTACTGTCTGTTGATACCAGGAATATAGCCTGTATCGCGTTTACGTTCGGTAGGTCGGACTATGCGCGGTGCGTTACAAGGAGGGGCGAAAAACTGCTGCTAGAAAAGGAACCGAAGCGGACGAAAGGCATGGAAGAAATTCGGCGAAGAGAAATTCAACAAAGAAGTGTAAAGACTGCTAAAAGGGTGTTCTGGCAAACGTTTCGAAGGCGAGGCAGGCAACGTACTCTCCAAGTCTCGAAAGACAGAAAGGTAGTGTCTCGACTACTGACTATTTTTGTGGATCTTGAAAGGCATACGACCATGTACTTCGAGGGAAACTGCGGGGAAAGCTGCAGGAGTATGGAATTAGCGATCGGCCGCTGAGGGCCATTCAATCCTTACACTGTGCAGGTGCAACGTTCGAGCGAACGGTATCCCTAGCAGCATATAACATTGAATCAACATTGTTTCAACGTTGTTTCAACGTCCGGATGTTGAATCAACATTGAATCGATGTTGTTTCAATGTTATATGCTACTAGGGATGTGCCATGGACTCTTTCCTAGTACCCATGGAGGGTTATTGGGATGTATGTGTTAACTTCATGCATCAACGTTATGCATGGTAAGGATCCCAATTACCCTCCATAGATCAAACACCCTCACAACTCGTTGAAATTGTTGAGCATGTGAAGCATATTTAATCAAATTCGCTCAAATCCTTATTGAACGTGCTTTTTTTGGCAATGAGTAAATTAGGACATTTCCTCGTCGATGGGAGAATTGAAATTTTGTCAGTTAGCCATACCATGCGTGGCGCCAGTCCTTCCCTATGTAATAAGAGTCCCTTTTCCCCCTACGATTCAGTTGAATGGTTCAACAGACAACAAGAGACAACAGAAAGAGAAACCTGCTTCACATCTATACATTATGAGCTAAGCCTCACCTTGCAGAAGAGTGAAATGAGTTCTAATTTGGGATGAGGTTCAAAACGAACGAGCGAACCAGAAGAGACTCATGAAATCCTAAACAGCGTGAGAGTTATGTTCGCAGTCTCCAGCTCTTTGCCTAGTGATTATGGAGTGGGACGAGTCCATTCACTCGCTCTGGAACGGGACTTGCGCCCAGGCAGGAAAGAAGTAGACCCTCGGCGAGCGAGTGCCTCTGCCATTCTGCCTCCAGGAGTGTTGCATGTGTCCAAAAATGAAGATCAAGCTGCCACTCTGCATCCTCCGGAAGAATCCAAAGGAAAAACAGGGGAAGAAGGATTTTGCACTGTCGCCTCCATCCTCTGCCCCCGCTCCCCTCGATCCTCGATTACCCCTCACTTTGAGGCAAAGAATTTCCATCATGAAATCTTGGGAAGGCATCTCGTGTGACTTGATGCCCATCGGGATCTCCATGTTAGTCAAGTGAGTCCCAGCGATGTTCCTTAGCATATGTTTTCATTCTGGGAGGGCAGACTGTCATAACCGTCATTTTACATAGTTGCACGCGCTCTTTTCAATCATGTAAAAAGGAGCTTGGAACTTTCGCGATTCATTAGACAAAAGGAAAACTACTGATAAGGTGGGAAGCCGAAGTCAGTTGCTCAGGTTACAATGTCTGATTGTGAAACGTTTTAGGAGCAATTTTTATTCCAATATCCTGTATTATGAACTATGATGCTCAATAGTTCCATTTCAAAAGAGAGAATGGGGAGACGACTTAAATTGTTCCAAGACTTTTTGAAAATTTCAGGAAGTCCTATTAAGTCCCAAAACCCTATAAATTTACAGAAAACATGTTATTATCAATTGGGAAACCAAATTGTCTCAGGGAAAGGATTCAAGGTATTGTATGAGCTATCTGGGCTGGCTCTTGTTGGCTCAGATATTGTGCTTGAATTCCAAAAATGCAATTACAATCAATAGTTGCTAGGAGTCGAAGACCGTGTTGAGGATAATCAAAGTGCACCAAAACTAGCATGACGAGTTCGGCTTGGGAGTTTCATATAAGATCGGTCTTCGCCCAGGATAATCGAGACCGCTATGGTCATTATGCTTCGGGGTGCCTAACGATAAGTTGATCACCGGGGCATGGCAACAAATGCTTTTGGATGCGTCGGACCCCGTCGAGGTACATCTGGACCTATCGGTCGGCTTACCACTGGTCATTGTGTAGTTTCGGCACGATGGCCTAGGGCAGGGGTGGTCAACCTTTTTGCTCAACTGGGCCGCATTGCCCCTTAAGGGATCTCCCGCGGGCCGCAATACCTACTTTCTAAATATTAATATTACATTTACAATAATATTCGGAAAGTGCCGTGGCCCGTAGATTGGGCACTCCTGGTCTAGGTGCATGCCGAGAGAACAAAATGGTTCGGCTTGGGATCGCAAGCACTGGACGATGCTCCTGGATCTCCTAGAGCCGATTCACATTAAGTTGGAAACACAGATTCGAAAATGTAAAAATGTATAGGTCTATTTAAAAAGAAAACCGAACGGGTTCATTTTCATGCAGAAGGATGATGTGATCGTGTGCATACAAGGCTAAATACAGGATTCACAGCTCTCGCGGCTTGTATATAGAGATGTTCCCTTTGCGTTCAAAGACAGCAGAAAGAGGAAGTGGGATTCTTTCGACAGAAGTCTCGGCTGAGCCTCTCCCATTCTTCTTCGATGACCTGCTCTAACGTGTTCTCCGTTCGGTATTCCCTTTGAACCACGTTTTCCTTGAGGACTGCCCAAACGTTCTCAATTGGGCCTCAGGTCTGGTGACTGCGACATGCAAGGGAGCCGTATGCCGGAGTCTGCTGGCAGCTATTTCTTCGCCAGCTGGGACATGTATTTCGGGTAATTGTCAACAGCCGTTTCAAACAGGGAAACAGGGTCAATAAGAGATGGATCGATTCGATATGCCATATGCAGATAAGTATTTTTTTTTGTCCTTGACACGCCAAGGATGAAATTTGAAGGAGAGATCTATTCACAGGAATGCAAATATGTAGGCCTTGGAAGAAGTTCCCAGAATGGCCTTCATACAAGCCAACTATACAGGAAGTTAGGTTTCAGTATGATCCCCTTCGAAATTGTTTCCTTAGCTTGTGATACACTTCTTTCAAAGTTTACAAAGCTCTTGGAACAGTGGCTGTTACCCTTTCTTGACAACCTCCTTCCACTGGTTGATCGCAGCTGACGGGAGAGCGTCTGTGTCGTCGAAGCGGCAGCCTTTAAGAAGGAATTTCATTCTGCGAAACAGCGCGAGGTCTGAGGGTGTGAGGTCCGATGAGCACGGAGGATGTGGGAGTAATATCACCCATTTTATTGGTCTCTCCAGTCAGCTGCGACCAACGCGTTGAAGGAGGTTGGCTAGAATGGGTTGCAGCTAGTGTTCCAAGTTCTTTGTGAACGTTGCGGTTTTGTGCATGGGTCTGTCCACGCCAAATGGTTCTAGGATTTTAACAGGAAATTTTCCTAAATATGCAAATGTTACTTTCGCTGCAGAAGTTCATGATCTCTTTTCCCCGAAGACATGAATGAAAGAGAATATTACATTGAAAAGGAAAGACTTAGTCATGATAATGATATATTATATATACCACTCTCATGATACTCAAAAATGAGATGAAAATGCAACTCCGGAGAGACGGAATTGGACTCCAGTAGTCCAATGATAGACAGATGCCACCATGGGCTTTCCATGCAAACTGATAATTTCAAATCAACTCAGGTGTGAAGAGTAGATGTCAATTGTTCTCATTTGAATGATATCTTAAAATAAAATTAAAAGATATGTACAGACTTCTCGTTTCAAAATACATTTTCAGAACGTCACATCCGACACTCTCCTGCCACATCCGACACCAGAAAAAATAGGCTTACTTTCTGTTTCAAGTATTGTAATCTGGACGCAACTTACACTAATTCCAGGCTTTCATTCAATCTATAGAATGAACATAAAACTAAATTATTAGGATCCGCTCGATGACAGATATGTGAACATATAAGCAAGTGGCTTTAACTTGAGGGTACACGAAATGTCACGTTTGACACTTCTTTTCACATAGGTACATCTCTAACAAAAGAGAGAGTGCAAGACTTTGGATTATGGAATTTTCAGTCAACACCAAAAGCAAATTGCTATAGCCTTTATATTCTGATTCGTCATACATAATAATATAGTTAATTGCATTTTGTATACAAACATATTACGCCTGATGTCACGTCCGCCACCGTGGGCAGACCCGTATCGCAAGCTAAAGGAACAACATCGAAGGGAATCAGAATGAAACCTAACTTCCGTGCATAGTTTGTACGTATGAAGGTCATTTCGTTAACTTTTTGCTAGGCCTCCGTTAGAATAGTCTCTCAACTTTCAACGTTCATTTCCTCTACTCCTGTTCGCTGGCTGCGACATGTCTGCAGGCTCTTCGAAGACCATTGCGATCTCCTGAACCTGTTCGAGAAATTCCAAAGATTGGAAGTCCAAGACGAGCAGGCGAAGAGGATGGAACTGAAAGACCACGCCAGGATTGCCATCACCACTCTGGACAACGGGATCAAGTCCTTAGACGACCTGGACGTGTACTTCCAGCACCTTCACACCGTCGGGGAGACTCACACTCGGATACCGGGATTCGAGAAGGAAAACTTCCACGTATGTCCCAATATTTCCACGTCTCTTTCCTAGGAGACTGATGTGGACTGATAAAATGTTGTTCTTCAGAAAATCAAAGGACCATTCCTGCGTGCGGTGCGAGAGACGCTGCAGGAGCGATACACCCCGAACATCGAAGCCATCTACAGGGTCACCATAGACTTCCTCATCGAGACTCTCATCGACGGATACGAGAATGGCCTCAAACGTCAACAGGATGATTTCAGTTCCTCGGGGGACTTTACTGAGGCCTTCTGATGGACTTCTCTATTAGCCCGCTCAAAGGAATCAATAATTACATACGGTTTCGACTGAAATGAGAGCTATTGCCATTAACATTTCGTGGAAGGCAAAGAGAATTAGTCAGAGATTGAGATAAGGTCCTTCCCCACCTCATTCTTCTACGGTGTTGTCTCATAAAGATGGAGTTGGGAAGACCGCTGCCTAAGCAGGCGGGCATCCACATTGCCACTGAGTTCTGCTCTCACGCAGTATTTCACTTTCATTGAATGATTCAGTGTGACTTTGTCAATGAACATGAATGAATGATCTTTCTATAAAGATCTTATTTTCCTACATGCTTTGGATACTAAATTACGTCATACCTTTTCATAAACTTAGTTTCGGAGATTCTTTGGAACAGCAAACTCCACTCATGAGTTTTGGAATAACCAAGGCATAATTACAAAACCGAAACTTTTTTTTTTTACCCTTCTACAGTCCTAGACGTACCATTCTGCCAAGTATTAACACTGAATTAAATACGGGGCACACATAGGAACGAAGTGTAAAGTAAATATAATAATGAACAAAATAGTCCCGACGAACGCATTTGACGAACAAAAAAGTGCTTCTTCCAAGACCACATTGTCGGTAACGGTGCCAGCGCCAGTTTTGCCCTGCTTCGATCCATCGATAACCTGAATATTCAGCAAAAACTCAGAGCGAACTCGCAAGCAGGCAATGTACAAACGGCATGGATGGATACTGGCTTCGTAAGTCCGACTTGATTCAAGATTCAAGATAGTTAGTGATATGAAGAGGCGATTTCACCTATTTCGATATCACGTGTTGAGGTCGAGCGTTCCTTAATTTTAGGGTAGGCCTAACCCTCTTAAAGCTAAATATTTTTGTTTTGTTTTGTTTATTTTATTATTATTTTTTTTGACTATCCTAATTGCTTACTGTCTTGTACCTAACGTCAACATTGCCCCCCACCTTTTTGCCTGTCCATGAAAGCATCCAATTTCTTCTTAAAGATAGTCACAGCGCGGGGCAGCCACTACTTCGTCATTAACGCATTCCACGCGTTCACCACACTGCAAGTAAAGAATTCCTGTCTCGACCTGAGCCGTACCTGCGGTTTGATGAAATACTTCTCCGAGACTTGATTATAGTCGTACCTTAGGTATGCTCGATAGGTAATCGACGTTGGCAAAGTTGGAACAGTATGGTGACTTGGGTTGACGCGTCCTGTGAAACTCTAGACAGGTAATGAACGCAGCCACTCGGCGCACCCGTGCTCACCTCAACTACTATGGGTGTTCAAATGAAACGGGGACTTTTAGTCCCCTTCCCTTAAACTATGAGTAACAGCCATTGTCCCCCTTTCATTTGTACCCCTAATATAAAGACATTTGCGTTCAGGTCTCTCACGATCACAGGCGTGTCGTTGCTAAGGTCGTTCCCAATCATAAGAATTCATACACGCATCAGGATAGGTCCAATTTTTAGGTTTAGGGGTGCATAAAGAGACCCAAAGCATCGAGATTGTTGAAGAATTCAAACGGAAAGGTGGCCTGCCGATCGACGTCATCACCACCATCATCGTTCACAATGTCGATACTGTGATGTGTCCGCAATTCGCCTTCCAATTGGGACCAATTCCAGGAAGTCACCTTGGAAAATGGAACATCTTCCCTCTATCGTTCGAGCTGGAGTTCTCTGGAGACCCTCCGGATTGGGTTATCTCCAATGACGGATTTGTTCAAGAACTTGAGTATCTCCCACTCTGGTTTATGCGGAGAAAGATAGGCTACATTGTGGAAAGTATCGGGGACTAATTCCATCTGTATCAAGAATCGACCCGTTAAAGCAACTACTTCGGCGCCATCTATCTTCGGTTGTGCGACCATTTTTTCTTTCAGTCGATGTCAGCTGGAGCATACCAATGCCTCCTCAAGCATACCATTGGCATGCTTGAAGAAAATATCATAAACGTTCGACGAATGTCCTTCAAATGCAGAAGGTCTTGTGGTTAAAATGCTTCTTAACTGAACGCCAAAAAGGTGTTCATTCCGGTATGTCTGGTAGTCCCAAGACCTCTTTGATAACATGTCGAACGTCCTCGAAAGCGTTTATGTGCTACTTGGACAGTCATCTATATAATAAAATCTACTGTCGTCCGTGGTAGCGGTTGTGGTCGTGGTCGGTGGTTCGTGGCATGCGTGCGATGAGCGCACGCGTCTGTCGTGTGCGCGCATGGGTGAACGTCTCCCTCTCCTGGACACCCAATTTTTTTTTTTCCGGCAGTTGTGACTGTCGGATCTATTCTGGAGAACGTAATACCCCGGGGGATGGCGAAGAGTTTGGATGACATGAGAGGACGAAAAGGAAAATGATGGCGGGGAGGGAATCGAATCTAGGGCCTTCACTACACCACCGAACCCAAGCTACCTAGATTTGCCTCTCCATGTCATCCCTAACGTAACAACGAGAGAGAGGAGGGAGAGAGAGAGAGAGAGGGAGGGAGAGAGAGAGAGAGAGGGAGGGAGAGAGAGGGGGAGAGAGGGAGAGAGAGAGATTCTACGTACCCGCTCTCTACTTATCGGGGTCCAATACAGACTTTTCCGCAGGGAAGTGTAAAACGTCCCCCCATATTACACTTGGAGTCCTCTTTCATCTCTGGAGGAAGGATGACTTCCTCGCCGGTATCTCCGCCCATATATTTATCGGGATCCCGACCCCTTCATCAATCAAAACCCCATCCACTTCTTCTTCACAAGGAGAGTGACTCCCAAGTGCGAAAACGGCGGAATCCCACCTGTATGGCACAAGAGCGCTTACTCTTGGATCGGAAAGACGACGTCAGCGGCGCCCTTTTCTCTATCTCCAATTTCTCCAGTAGGCCTGAAATTCCAGGCCTGCTGGGCCTACGAAGGTGATAACGTTACGCCGCCCTTGCATCATCACATTCGACCCGGTGTGAGGAAGGAAGTCAAGCGAACTTTAGTTCGTTTGACGAAATGAACGTTCAAAGGCAAGCATAGGCTAATGTAGACGAAGGGTGACCACGAAGTGCATGGAAAAAGTGTTGGCGGGTCTTGGCAGGGCATGCTTCCGTATTCAGTAGGGCTGCTCCAATGATCCCCTTGGTTCCTTCACTCCGCAAATGCGTACCGCAGGCCTGCTTTAAACTCTATGAAATACTTCTCACGTGAAACGCGGCATTTTGCTGACCTATTCTCAATCCGCTTTTCTGCCATTAGCCTAAACTGAGGTATTAGACTTCTTTCAATTGTAGCACGCATGCCTATACTGTTCCTATGGGCGCGCCATCTCCAGTTACTGTATTTCTTAGCTCAGGGGCTCTCCCATAGCCACAGTAACAGGTACACGCAGCGTGGCATGAGGTCCCTAACGTTCTGAAACGTGCGCGGCGGGTAGCGATGTGGGTTTCATGAGGCCCCCAATAAAAGCCCCACATACCACATTATCCTACGAGGCGACGATTTAAGGTAACGCCTCGATCTTTGGGTTACCCTTCGTCTTCGATCGGCGTCGGTTCCCCGTCCTTCGCAATGACGATTAACGAAGCGCAGGGGCAGACCAAGAAATTAGGTGTGCTTTTGCCGCGTCCTGTCTTCTCACATGGCCAGCTAGGGGGCAGGGGGGCGGGAATGTGGGGACCGCCTTCCATGGCCATGTGCGCACGTATTGCCTTCACTTCCGTGCTTTTGCACGGGCTACCTACTAGTATGTATACGAGCTGCAGGTCTCATTGACCCATGATTAACTTCGGCACCCGATCAGTGAATGGAGCGAAGGAGGCGAATGCGAATGGAGTTGAAGAAATACACATCTCCCCTATTTCATCATGGACGCTTAAAGTCCCAGGATTTCCGGCAGAAGGGGGGGGGGGGGGGGGGGGGGGGGTGGAGGCATCACGGTGAGCGATGAAACTGCTCCCTTGCGATTATCGGGGCAACTCTCGTCTCCTCGTTCTTCCGAAAGATGGCGAGACGAGAGCGAATCTCCGATTTTCCGTGGAGGTTGCATCCCCTCCCTTTCGTGTGGCCGATTTGGAAATCTCATTTTGAAAAGGCACATCCTCGAATGATAAGGAATAGTTCTGTTGAAACCCCAAGTTTCCGAAACCCCACCTCTAAGCGTTTGGCCTGTAGAGCCCCCCCCCCCCCCCCCACGCACACACGCACACACACACAAACACACAATTGTTGTTCTGCCTAGCTAGCGGACAGGATCGCGCACGCTATATGTTTAACCTCCGGTTTGAACAACAATTATTAACATTCATAGAGGAGCTCCAAATCTCTCTCTCTCTCTCTGTCTCTCTCTATATTCTCCGCTGTCTTTCTCCCGTTGTGAAACCTATTTTCATGTCGTCCGAAAATTTACCATTATCTCATAACATAACCTTAATTGCGAGGTTTTCATCCATAGATTATTAATGCAGGCTTGAATTAGGAGCGGACCCAGAATCGAACCCCCTCCCGCGACTCTCACTTCCTCATTTACGATTACCCTCTGCGTTCATCTACAAAGCCCAGTACCTATCCATTTAATCATTCGAACCTGGATCCGGTACAATAAAGTCAGTAGCCTCTTACATGGAACGGTGTTGAGCTTTCGCGAAGACTAAATAGACTATATCGACAAGATCCTCTTCGTCACTCTTTTCCGTCACCCGGTCGTAAAACTCGAGCGAGTCGGTGAGACGATCACTCCGCTTTCTAAAAAAAAAAAAAAAAAAAAAAACACGCGGGAAATCTCGGATGAAAGAGTTTCCCTCAAGAAGTTCGAGGATGGGATGACCACCGAGATGATCCTCGGTATGCCGGCGAGACTAATATGCAGGGTATGCAAGAAAACCGTGATTTTTAACTTTAATGTCTCCACTCACAATGGAGCCTTTTCTGCGAAACTTTCACTCGGCATACATGAGTATGCTTCCAAGTAAATCTGAAAATTCCATCCGAAATTAGTCGAGCTGAAGAAGTTCTATCACCGTTTATATAATAAAAAAATGTTAGACATTGAGAATGGACAAAATTTTTGCCGGTAG